CAGGCCCGGCTAATTTTTATATTTTTAGTAGAGATAGGGTTTCCCCATGTTGGCCAGGTTGGTCTCGAAGTGATCCACCCACCTCAGCCTCCCAAAGTGCTGGGATTACAGGTGTAAGCCATCACAACTGGCCTGATAAATTTTAACGTTTTATAATAGATCTGTGTATATTTTATGATAGTAAATGATAGAATGGACTAGTATCTACATATATTTTATGCATTCATGACGTACCTAACTTTTTCTTATTTTTTTTCTATATTTCTAGGCTATATGGTTTGCAAATTTTTTCAAATGGTCACCAATTTTCAAAAACTTTTCTAATATATTTACTGAAAAAAAAAGGCCCACATATAAGTGGATCTGTCTAGTTCAAACAGATGTTGTTCAAGAGTCAACTGTATTGAGTTTTGTATCTGATTATGAGAGTGAAGTCGATGATGTTGGTAAGAGGAAATAAGTATCTCCAGAATGGTAACGAGGAACTCTGGTAACTTATTCAGGGCTGTGAGGATTCTAGTTCTTTTCTGGGATCAGAAAACGGGACTTTTTACTTAAATAAAAATTGTGAGTATATGAAAACTCAGACTAAAATACATTTTAAGAATCTTTTCTGGTATCTCTTTGTATAGGAACAGCAAGACATTTCACTTTATTTTTTGTTTTGTTTTTTATTTTTATTTTTATTTTATTTTTTTCCCTGAGACAGAGTCTTGCTGCAATGCCCAGGCTGGAATGCAATGGTGTGATCTCAGCTCACTGAAACCTCTGCTTCCTGGGTTCAAGCGACTCTCCTGCCTCAGCCTCCCGAATAGCTGGGATTACAGGCACATGCCACCACGCCCAGCTAATTTTTGTGTTTTTACTACAGACGGGGTTTCACCATATTGGCCAGGCTGCTCTCGAACTCCTGACCTCAAGTGATCTGCCCACCTTGGCCTCCCAAAGTGCTGGGGTTACAGGCGTGAACCACTGTGCCGGCTGACATTTCACTTTATTTTTTAAGTTAAAGAAACATTTCAGCTGCCTTGCTGTCATTTTCAAAAGAAACACTAGTTTGGTGTCCACAAAAAATACTGGAAAGCAATATACATCTTAACCGAAGTTGTTTTGAGAGGTACCTATAGTGGATATTTTCTTTTTTCACCTGCCCATCACTATATGGTTTCTTCTGGTAAAACGAATCTTGATTTTCTTTTGGAGGATGAGCTCTCCCCTATTCTCTGTCTCTAGATTTTTCTTTTTTCTTTTTTTTGAAATGGAGTTTTGCTCTTGTTGCCCAGGCTGGAGTGCAATGGCATGATCTGGGCTCACCGCAACATCCGCCTCCTGGGTTCAAGCGATTCTCATGCCTCCACCTCCTGAGTAGCTGGGATTACAGGCATGTGGCACCACGCCTGGCTGATTTCTTTCTTTCTTTCTTTCTTTCTTTCTTTCTTTCTTTCTTTCTTTCTGTCTGTCTGTCTGTCTGTCTGTCTGTCTTTCTTTCTTTCTTTCCTTCCTTCCTTCCTTCCTTCCTTCCTTCCTTCCTTCCTTCCTTCCTTCCTTCCTTCCTTCCTTCCTTCCTTCTTTCTTTCTTTCTTTCTTTCTTTCTTTCTCTTTCTCTCTCTTTCTTTCTTTCTTTCTTTTTGAGACAGAGTCTTGCTCTGTCGTCCAGGCTGGAGTGCAGTGGCACGATCTCGGCTCACTGCAAGCTCCACCTTCTGGGGTCATGCCATTCTCCTGCCTCAGTTTCCCGAGTATCTGGGACTACAGGCGTCTGCCACCACGCCTGGCTAATTTTTTTTTTGTATTTTTTAGTAGAGACAGGGTTTCACCATGTTAGCCAGGATGGTCTCGATCTCCTGACCTCATGATCCGCCCGCTGCAGCCTCCGAAAGTGCTAGGATTACAGGCGTGAGCCACCTTGCCCGGCCCTAATGAGACGGGGTTTCTTCATGTTGGTCAGGCTGGTCTTGAACTCCCGACCTCAGGTGATCTGCCTGCCATGGCCTCCCAAAGTGCTGGGATTACAGTCATGAGCTACTAAGCCCGGCCCTGTCTCTAGATTAAGGTATATGAATTTGCCAATGAGACATAAACTTAAGATTTTATTGGAACTACTGGGAAATAAGTGCTCTGCTTATTTTGGAATGGTTAGCTATAAAGATGATATAAGTTGAACATTGGGGAAAGGTGGGGAGGTGGCAAGAAATCACTATATGAGAACAAACTCTTTGAAGTCAACAAGGAGGAAAGGAGAGATCATGTCCTGATGTCAATGTTTGCATTCGTGAATCTAGTCATATCTGAAGTTACCTATCTATGGATTTTTCAGTTATTAAGCCAAATATACTCCTTTTCTTAAATCAGTCTAAGTTTTTGACACTTGTAAGGAAAAGCCCTATGTATCATAGCACAAAATAATTTCATTTATTAAACATCACAAAAAGTCTAAAAATCCTCTTTCATATCTTTCTATACCTTGGTGTCACTCAGAATGTCAGCTGTGCTAAATCCCTAGTCTCACTCTCTCAAAACTCCCAGAAACCATCTCTCCTAAAGTCAGCTCATTCTAGGTCTTTTCTTCTTACGCCCTTACTCAAACTTTGCTGGTTGTCTTCCTTATCCCCACCCCATCCCACCTTCTCCAAAACAAAAAATCTAACTGAGCCTTGCAGATCAGCCTAGCCTTCTGAAGCTCCTTTTGCTTCTTTACCTCTACTCCTTATTGAGATCAGCACAATTAATGCCTGTTTGAACAACAAATGATCCTTTCTCTTTGGAAGGGTGAAAGTATGGAAATATTTACATGTTAAATGTTCTGTTCTGGTCTCATTTGTATTCAGTACAAATAGTGTGTTTGCTTAGACATTAATTTTATTTGCAAATAGCTACAGCTGGGGGTCCCTTTGGGTAAGTCTTGCTAAGATACTGCATTGGTGGGTTTTTTGTCTGTTCATTTTGTTTTTGTTTTGTTTTTTAAGGGGATGGGGAAGGAATCAAAGTAGTCAAATCAGTTTGGTTGTTTTTACAAGCCTGAGAAATGGTCAAATTCTGGATTCAGACCAAGCACACCATAGTGTGCTAGAGGCAATTTAATGACTTCCTGCCCTCTTGCCTTTTTCCCCCTCTTTGGGAACATTCTTGGATTTTCTACAGAAACAGCCAGAGGCTCCCAATTGACAATTGCCTCACTCAGCAGTTTCTTGTTAGCACATTTATCAGCCACTGTTCCCAGGACTCTCTTAAGTGTCCTAAGAATATTGACTCATTCAAAAGCAGCCCAGTTGTAGTTGGGAGAGCACCAGCACTTGCTCTATAAAGATCTAGATTGTCTCTCTACCTCAAGAGGAATCCAAAGTCCTATTATGCTGGACTCTCAAATGATCCCCAGCCCTTTGGTGCTCACAGTGTTTATGAGCAGTCTGAATATCATTCTTGGGTCTACCTAAACCGGCACCCTCGGGCTATGGGGCCCAGTGGGGAGACCACCTAACATGCTGGCTGCCTGGAGCCCAGGGAACTGTCAAGATGGCTCTGGAAGACTTCTCACCTTTTAAAAGCCCCATATTTCTTTTACATATCTTTTCGTCTTCATGAATTTTGCCAACCACAAAGGACTAAAATCTATTATAGTGTCCTGGAAAGGTGGGGAAAAGATGAGATAGTTGAATAGAGTTTAATGAAGGGACTATTTAAAAAGGTGTGGATGGGGTTAAAGGAAACCTCTGGGCGTCATTACCCACCCCAGGCCTGAAGCGGCAAGGGTTGTTAGTGGTAACCAGAACCTGGAGGAAACTGCAGGAGAGGGCCACAGGATGGGAGTAATGGCTTTCAGATGAAGAACATAGCCACTGCTAACAGGGTGGCCCGCTGGGGATGCAGGGGAGGTCCTGAATCACATTCTGCCTTCAGATCTGCTGGTGCTTCCTACTTGCCAAAACCAATTGAAAGCCAGATTATAGTTGACGTAGCCCATAAAGGTCAGTCCTGAGTCACAGAGTGGAGTGGACAGTGGGTCTGAAGGGACAGAGGAAAAAGCAACAGGCAACTCCTGTTTTTTCCCCACAGTCAGCACCTTGGTTCAGCCCTCACCCTTTCTTGCCTGTTCCCTGGACCCATCAAATCCACTGCTTTTGATGACCAGTCTGTTTCCAAGAGGCTATATTCATTCCACTTGGGACTGCGGCATATGGACCTGGGTAGAAGAACCAGGTGTGCAGTGTCAAGACCCTTCCTTCAGAGACCTCATCAGTAAAATGTCGGGTGGACTCGGGATGCCCGAAGACTTTTCCGGACCAGGATTTTCCGATGCTGGACACATGTTTAAACATCAAAGAATCGACTTGCGACTTTTAAGCACAAACAATGGGTGGAAATGGACAGAAACTGCCTCCCTGCCCACTTGCAGCGGACTACATAGCCCTGGCAGGCAATTTCTTCAAACAGGCGCCCTCCAAGGGCGTAAGCTAGAGGGGCCCGGGCAGGCGCTTTCCCGTACTTTGACCCTCCCACCTCGCGGGTAGAGGAAGTCCTTCAGTTCAGTCACAACCCTCGGCGCCCCCGGCAGTCTCCGACTCCGGCGCGAGTCAGGTTGTGGGGCGGGGAGGGGGTGGTGGCGGCGGAGAGCGCAGGCGCAGAGTCTGCGCCGGCGGCGCCCCTCTCTCTCCGCACCCGTCCGGGCAGCGCCCGCCTTGATTTTCTCAGGCGAGTGCACGCCCGCCTCAGTCGCCTCTGGGGACACCTTCCTCGCCGCGACACGCAGGTAACCGGGCCCCGGGAGCCGGTCGGCGGCGGCGGACTGGGACCTTGACCCTGCCTGCCCGGCCGCCCCACAGGGGAATGAGAGCGGACCCCGAACTCCACACACCCGCGTTTAGCCGCCACACCTAAGGGGCAGAACAGTCTTTTTGGGTAAGGGCCGGGTTGGAGGCGACGCGCCCCGCCCGCTTTGCAGACCTCGGGGTGCTCTGCACGACGCCTGAAAGGCCGCGGGGCCCGCATTTCTCTGCGCTCACCTCCTGGAGAACCGGGACACGGGGACGGCAGGGCCAGCATCGGCTACGGCCCGGTTTCCCGTTTCTTTCCGCTGTCGCGTGTCTGGGCCCTTCTGCAGCGTCCATGATGAAAGCCAGGGGCTGTTGCTTTCCTCTCGCCCAGTAGCCCACCCAAGCAAGGGGTGAGTCCCTGTGGCGTCATGGAATCAATTTCAAATACAAGTTTTAAAAAAGGCTGGATGATTTTAGAAATATGGTCAAGAATGTGTATTTTCCATTACTCTCTTGTCTCATGTCCATGACTCTTGAACGCCAGTCTATGGGCGCTGAGATTTTCGTGGTACATCGACAGTTTGTAGAAATATTTTCCCAAGGGAAGACGAGGGCAAGGGTTAGTGGAGGAAGGGCCTGGTCACGGCCGAGAGTGGCGGAGGAGGCTCAGGGCAAGTCAGCTCAGCCTCCAGCAGCCACGGGGAGGAAAAGGCGAATCTTTCCTGACGGTGCTCTGGGCGCTGTAGAATTTCTACGCCACGTGCACCGATTTGGCCTCATTTGAGAGGAGGAGAGGGAAAAAGGGTCGCGTGGACCGGCAGGAAGTCGTGTTGCGGCGTATGAGGGCTCAGCGCGGATTTCCATCTCGGGCCAGGTTTTCTCCCGGCTCCGCGAGGAGCGAGGCGGAAAGCTCGCGGCCGAGTGACGATCAAGGGCGCGGAGATAGTAACGCCCAGGGTCCAGAGGGCTGGGGGCAGCTCCCGAGGAGCGATCTTCCTCCGCGAGAAAGGACTTGGATCAGGCTTGCCTGTGTCCGTGGTGCTGAAGTGCCTCGCGCGCCCTGGTCGACTGACTTCCTGGGCGGCGGCCTGCGTTGCCCTTCTACTCTGCACCTTTGCCAAAAATAGCCCATCTCCACGGCAGGTGGCCAGAGTGGAGCAGGCCCAACACTGAAACCCTTTTCAGACAAGTTGAGGCTGGTTTCCTGAACATAACATGAAAGCAAATTGTGGCTTGCCTTGGAGGTACAGATAAGCATATGCATAACAGATTTTATTACCTATGAGAAAGTACACACCATGAGCATAAACAGGAATTCTCACATATACTTAGGAAAGATACAGGGATGTGTATTTACACACAAACCTAACACACATGCAAATACACTCATCCCTTTTGAAAACCATCATACACTACGAGCCACACATTTTTTAGAGCTTTTGTAATCCATCTTTATTTTTTGACACTTCTAGTAAATGTGAACTCTGCAGCACCATTTATTTTCATAATCATCTGTTCCAAAGGCACAGAGCCTGTGGATTGAAGTGTTTGGTATTTGGCTGAGCGATTAAGTATTTACACTTATTTAAATTCCAGAACAAAGTCTAGGAAGTTGTAAAATTGATATTGATAGCAAAAAAATTCCTTAAAGCTTAAGGAAAATGAATTAATGTAAATTTTAATAAGAACAACATATAAATCTTATAGAAATTTATAATCTGAAGAACATATGACTAAAATGTATCATAATGCAGACAATTTTAAATATATTGGTGGTATGTGGTTTGTGAAGTTCTTAAAGTTTACATTTGTATTTTTCAAAAACATTGGTATTGTTTTTTCTCAAAAAAATATATGCTCATTGTAAGAAATTTAGGTAATAGAGAAATGCATAAACATAGAAAACCATTGTAAACAGATTTTCATTTAGATGAACATACATACATTTTAAATGGACCAATCCTCTATTGGTTGCATTTTTGCTATATAATTTATAATTAATGTCTTTCAAACCAATACATATAAAACTAGGTCATCATTAACAGTTGCATAATATTGATCTGTGTGGACAGAATGTAAGTAATTTAAACAATCCCATAATAATGAACATTTACGTCCAATTTTTTGGACTTTAAAACAATTATTGTGGAAAGAATATGTAACATGAGATCTGTCCTCTGAACAAAAAAATTTTTTCTTTTTTTTTGAGACATTGTCTTACTTGTTGCCCAGGCTGGAGTACAGTGGTGTGATCTCCGCTCATTGCAACCTCTGCCTCCCGGGTTCAAGGGATTCTCCTGCCCCAGCCTCTGGAGTAGCTGGCCACCACACCCAGCTAGTTTTTGTATTTTTAGTAGAGACAGGGTTTTACCATGTTGGCCAGGCTGGCCTTGAACTCCTGTCCTCAGGTGATCTGCCTGCCTCGGCCTCCCAAAGTGCCAGGATTACAGGCATGTGCCACTGCACCTGGGCCTATCTTTTTAATAAAATTTTAAGTGTATAATACATCATTGTTGATATATATTGTTGATAGATGCGATGCCGTATAGCAGATCTTTAGAGCTTATGCGTCTTGCTTAACTGAGTCTTTATGCCTGTTGATTAGTAACTCCTGATTTTCCCCTGGCCTCCAGTCCCTGGAAACCACCATTCTACTCCTTGATTCTATGACTTGTGACTACTTCATTTTAATTTTAATTTTTAATTTTTGTGGGCACATAGGTATATATATTTATGGGGTACATGAGATACTTTGATATAGAGATGCAACATGTTTAATAATCACATAATGGTAAATGGGGTATCCATCCCCTCGAGCATGTATCCTTTGTTTTTATAAACAATCCAATTATAATGATTTAAAAATGTACAATTAAATTATTATTGACTATAGTCATCCTGTTGTGCTATCAAATACTAGGTCTTATTCATTCTTTCTACTTTTTGTATCCATTAACGATCCCCAGTTTTCCCCACACCCCCAACCCTCTCCCACTACCCTTGCCAGCTCTGGTAACCACCATCCTTCTACTCTTTTTTCTGTTTTTTTTTTTTTTTTTTTTTTTGGAAATTGAGTCTTGCTTTTGTTACCCAGGCTGGAAGCTGGAGTGCAGTGGCATGATCTCGGCTCACTGCAACCTCTGCCTTCTGGGTTCAAGCGATTCTCCTGCCTTAGCCTCCCAAGTAGCTGGGCTAACGGGCACCTGCCACCATACCTGGCTAATTTTTGTATTTTTAGTAGAGATGGGGTTTTACCATGTTGGCCATACTGGTCTTGAACTCCTGACCTCAGGTGATCTGGCTGCCTCAGCCTCCCAAAGTGCTGGGATTACAGGTGTGAGCCACTGTGCCCAGCCTACTCTCTATCTCCATGAATTCAATTGTTTTGATTTTTAGATCCCACAGATAAGTGAAAACACGTGAAATTTGTCTTTCTGTGCCTGGCTTATTTCACTTAATATGATGACCTTCGGTTCCATCTATGTTGTTGCACATAACAGGATCTCATTCTTTTTTATGCCTAAATAATACTCCATTGTATATAAGTATTTGTTGATGAACACTCAGGTTGCTTCCAAATCTTGGCTATTGTGAACAGTACCGCAACAAACATGGGAATGCAGATAACTCTTCGATATACTGATTTCCTTTCTTTTGGTTATATATCTAGCAGTGGGATTGCTGGATTGTATGGTTGCTCTATTTTTAGTTTTTTGAGGCACCTCCAAACTGTTCTTCATAGTAGTTGTACTAATTAATATTCTCACCAACAATGTGTGAGAGTTCCCTTTCTCCACATCCTTGCCAGCATTTATTATTGCCTGGATTTTGGATAAAAGCCATTTTTACTGGAGTGAGATGATATCTCATTGTAGTTTTGATTTGCATTTCTCTGATGATCAATGATGTTGAGCACCTTTTCATGTTTGCTATTTGTATGTCTTCTTTTGAGAAATGTCTATTCAGATCTTTTGCCACTTAAAAATTGGATTATTAGATTTGTTCTGATAGTTATTTACCATTCCTTATATATTCCGGTTATTAATCCCTTGTCAGATGGGTAGTTTGCAAATATTTTCTCCCATTCTGTGGGTTGTCTTTTCACTTTGTTGACTGTTTCCTTTGCTGTGCAGAAGCTTTTAAACTTGATGTGACCCCATTTATTCATTTTTGCTTTGGTTGGCTGTGCTGGTGGGGCATTACTCAAGAAATTTTTGCCCAGAACAATGTCCTGGAGAGTTTTCCCAAGTTTTCTTGTAGTAGTTTGTAGTTTGAAGACTTACATTTAAGACATTATTCCGTTTTTATTTGATTTTTCTTTTTTCTTTTTTTTTTTTTTTTTCTTTGAGGTGGAGTCTCCATCTGTCGCCCAGGCTGGAGTGCAGTGAGTGCCGTGGCTCAATCTCTGCTCACTGCAACTGCTGCCTTCCAGGTTCAAGCGATTCTCCTTCCTCAGCCTCCTGAGTAGCTGGGATTACAGGCATGTGCCACCACGCCCAGCTAATTTTTTTTTTTGTATTTTTAGTAGAGACGGGGTTTCAGCATGTTAGTCAGGCTGGTCTCGAACTCCTGGCCTTGTGATCCACCCACCTCAGCCTCCAAAAGTGCTGGGATTACAGGCTGATTTGGTTTTTCTATGTGATGAGTGATAGGGGTCTAATTTCATTATTCTGCATATGGTTATTGTTTTCCCAGTATCATTTATTGAAGAGACTGTCCTTTCTCCAGTGTATGTCCCTGGCACCTTTGTGGAAAATGAGTTTACTATAGCTGTATGGATTTGTTTCTGGATTCTCTATTCTGTTTCATGGGTCTATGTATCTGTTTTTATGCCAGTACCATGCAGTTTTGGTTACTATAGCTCTGTAGTATAATTTGAAGTCAGGTAATGTGATTCTTCCAGTTTTGTTCTTTTTGTTCAGGATAACTTTGGCTATTCTGGGTCTTTTGTGGTTCCATATAAATTTTAAGATTTTTTTTTTTCTATTTCTGTGAAGAATGTCATTGCTATTTTAACAGGAATTTCATTGAATCTATAGATTGCTTTGGGTAATATAGACAGTTTAACAATATTGATTCTTCCAGTCCATGAACATGAAATATTTTTCCATTTTTTGGTGTCCTTTTAAATTTCTTTCACAAATGTTTTATAGTTTTCTTTGTAGAGATCTTTCACATCTTTGGTTAATTCTTAGGTGTTTAAGTTGATTTGTGGGTATTGTAAATGGGTTACTTTTTTGATTTCCTTTTCAAATTGTTCACTTTTGGCATATAGAAATGCTGCTGACTTTTGTATGTTGATTTTGTATCCTGCAACTTTACTGAATTTGTTTATCTGTAAATAATAGTTTACTGATAAATTCTAAAGTTCTAACAGTGTTTTGGCGGAGTCTTTAGGTTTTTCCAAATATAAGATCACATCATTTGTAAACAAGGATAATTTGTCATCTTTTCCAGTTTAGATGTCCTTTATTTCTTGCTTTATTATTATTATTATTATACTTTATGTTCTAGGGTACATATGCACAACGTGCAGGTTTGTTACATAGGTATGCATATGCCAGGTTTGTTTGCTGCGCCCTCCAACTCGTCATTCACATTAGGTATTTCTCCTAATGTTATCCCTCCCCCAGCCCCCGACCCCCCACGGACAGGTGTGTGATGTTCCCCCCGCCCCGTGTCCATGTGTTCTCATTGTTCAACTCCCACCTATGAGTGAAAACATGCAGTGTTTGGTTTTCTGTCCTTGTGGTAGTTTGCTTAGAATGATGGTTTCCAGCTTCATCCATGTCCCTGCAAAGGTGGATGTCCTTTATTTCTTTATGTTATCTGATTGCTGTAGCTAGGACTTCCAGTACTGTCTTGAATAACAGTGGTGAAAGTGGCCATCCTTTTTCTAGATCTTACAGGAAAGGCTTTCAGTTTTTCCCCATTCAATACGATACTAGCTGTGGGTCTATCGTATATGACTTTTTTTTTTTTTTTTTTTTTTTTGAGACAGAGTCTTGCTCTGTTGTTCGGGCTGGAGTGCAGTGGTGCCATCTTGGCTCACAGTAACCT